ACCTAAATCATTACATATTCTTTTATTTCATTGAGTATTCTGTTATTTCCGCGTTTTAACCTAAATCATTACATATTCTTTTATTTCATTGAGTATTCTGTTATTTCCACGTTTTAACCTAAATCATCACATATTCTTTTATTTTATTAAAATGTTCAGTTTTTTCCACATAACTTGAATCATCATATATTCTTTTCTTTTATTGACTGTTGTGTTATATCCGCGTTTTAACTTAAATCATCACATATTTTCTTTTATTGAGTTTTCTGTTTACTGCATTTTAACATAGATCATCGTATATTCTTTTATTTTATTCACTGTTGTGTTATATCCGCGTATTATTCATCATATATTCTTTTATTTCATTTAGTGTTTTGTGATTTCTACGTTTTAACCTATATCATCACATAATCTTTTATTTCCTTTAGTGTTTTGTTATTTCCACGTTTTAATCTATACCATCACACATTTTTTTATTTTACCGATTATTCTGTTATTACCACATTTTAAACTAAATCATCACATATTCTTTTATTGAGGGTTTCGTTATTTTTGCGTTTTAACTTAAATCATCACATATTCTTTTATATAGTGTTTTGTTATTTCCGCGTTTTAACCTATATCATCACATATTCTTTTATATTACCAAGTGTATTGTTATTTCCCTGTTTAAACCTAAATCATCACATATTCTATTATATTATAGAGTGATGTTATTTCTACGTTTTATTTTATACCGTCATATATTCTTTAATTTTACCAAGTATACTGTTATTTCCCTGTTTAAACCTAAATCATCACATATTCTATTATTTTATAGAGTGATGTTATTTGAACGTTTTAACTTAAATCATCACATATTCTTTTGTTTTACCGAGTATTCTGTTATTTCCACATTTTAACCTAAATCATCACATATTCTTTTATTGAGTGTTCCGTTATTTACAGATTTTAACCTATTTTTTCACATATTCTTTCATTTCATTTAGTGTTTTGTTATTTCCACGTTTTAACCTATATCATCACATATTCTTTTATTTTACCGAGTATTCTGTTACTTCCACGTTTTAACCTAAATCATCACATATTCTTTTATTGAGTGTTCCGTTATGTCCGGGTTTTAACTTAAATCATCAAATATTCTTTTATATAGTGTTCTGTTATTTCTGCGTTTTAACCCATATCATCACATATTCTTTTATATTACCAAGTATACTGTTATTTCCCTGTTTAAAACTAAATCATCACATATTCTATTATATTATAGTGATGTTATTTCCACGTTTTATTCTATACCGTCACATATTCTTTTATATTACCAAGTATCCTGTTATATCCCTGTTTAAACCTAAATCATCATATGTTATATTATTTTATAGAGTGATGTTATTTGAACGATTTAATTTAAATCATCACATATTATTTTATTTTACCGAGTATTCTGTTATTTCCGCGTTTTAACCCAAATCATCACATATACTTTTATTCCGTGGAAAGTTCTGTTGTTTCGGCTTTATAACCTAATTCATCACACGTTCTTTTTTTTTATTGAGTATACTGTTATTTTCGAATTTTAACCTGTATCATCACATATTCTTTTATTTTACCGAGTATACTGTTATTTCCCTGTTTAAACCTAAATCATCACATATTCTATTATATTATAGAGTGATGTTATTTCCACGTTTTATTCTATACCGTCACATATTCTTTTATATTACCAAGTATACTGTTATTTTCGTGTTTGAACCTAAATCATCACATATTCTATTATTTTATAGAGTGATGTTATTTGAACGTTTTAACCCAAATCATCACATATACTTTTATTCCACTGAAAGGTCTGTTATTTCGGCTTATAACCTAATTCATCACACGTTCTTTTTTTATTGAGTATACTGTTATTTTCGCATTTTAACCTGTATCATCACATATTCTTTTATTTTACCGAGTGTTCTCTATTTTCCACGTTTTAACCTAAATTATCACATATTATTTTATTGAGTGTTCCGTTATTTCCGTGTTTTAACACAATTCACCACATTTTATTTTATCAACTGTTGTTATATCTGCGATTTAACTTAAATCATCACATTTTATTTTATTGATTGTTCTGTTATTTCCACGTTTTATCCTATATCATCATCACATATTCTTTTATATTACCAAGTAAAATGTTATTTCCCTGTTTAAACCTAAATCATCACATATTCTATTTTTTCATAGAGTGATGGTATTTCCACGTCTTAACCTAAATTATCATATATTCTTTATTTTATTGAGTGTTCTGTTATTTTCATGTTTTAACATAAATCATCACATATTCTATTATTTTATAATATTCTGATATTTCCACGTTTCAACATAAATTACCATTTTTTACTGAGTATTCTGTTATTTTTACGTTTTAACCTAAATCATCATATATTCTTTTATTTTATTGAGTATTCTGTTATTTCCTTGTTTAACCTAAATTATCACATATTCTATTAACTTATAATGTTCTGTTATTTCCACGTTTTAACCTAAATTTTTTATTTTATTGAGTTTTCTGTTATTACTGCATTTTAACATAGATCATCGTATATTCTTTTATTTTATTCACTGTTGTGTTATATTCGCGTTTTAACCTTATTCATCATATATTTATTTATTTCATTTAGTGTTTTTTGATTTGCACGTTTTAACCTATATCATCATATATTATTTTATTTCATTAAGTTTTTTGTAATTTCCAC